TCAGGTGTGGATGCTTTTCCCCAAAGTTTGGTGTCATCGGCGAACTTGGCCAGTCTGCTTCTGACTCCAATGTCCACATCATTAATGAAGATGTTAAACAATATGGGTCCAAGGACAGATCCTTGGGGGACCCCACTGGTCACAGGGCGCCATGACGATTGACTTCCATCCATTGCCACCCTCTGGGTCCGACCACGGAGCCAATTTCCCAGCCAGTGGATCGTGGTGGACCCAAGGCCACAATTGGCCAGTTTCTATACCAGAGCGCCAGAAGTTCTCAAAGATCTGTGCCAGAGACTAGGGTATGATGCTCGCCAGCTCCTTGAGTACCCTGGAGTGTAGATTGTCAGGGCCAGCTGACTTGAAGGTGTCCAGCCTCTCTAGGTATTCCTTCACGAGGTCAGCATTGATGGAGGGCAGGGGATCTCCCTCACCCGGACCTCCCTGTCCCATAGTGGGCCTGGGCGTCCCATGGGACTGATGAAAGACGGATGCAAAGTACCCATTTAATAGGTTGGCTTTTTCCTGGGCGTCAGTTGTCCCATCTGGTTCAGTAGGGGTCCAATGTTGCCCTTGCTTTTCCTCCGGCTCCCCATGTATCTGAAAAAGGACTTTTTATTGTCCTCGATGCTGGAAGCTAGTTGGAGTTCAGTTGCAGCTTTGGCTTTCCTGGTTTGCTCCCTGCAGGACTGGACCAGTGCAGTACTAGGACTTTCTTTAACTGCAGTACTGTGCATGCCTAGGATTTTGAAACAGACTTGTCTGCCTTACTGCCTGTGCTGATCCTGTGGAAGGAGAGTACTCCATTTCAATGTAATCAGCATCTGAAATCAGCTGGGAAGAATACTGTACATGTATCAAGAGCAATCCCTCCTGCCTTTCATGGACCACACTAAGATTGCATAGACTTTTATTTTGCTATATTTTATAATGTCTAACATTCTGACCTTTGGGACGTTATCCTGACGGCATGCTTATGTGGTCACTTTGAAACCACAAGGGATGATACAGGTAAGAACATCTTCCTGAAATATCACCCACCTATGCTTCTGTTGAACAGCCTGCTCAAGTCCCTTCTCAACGTGAGGAGAATTCACCTCATTTAAGTAGCTTACAGGCATAGTTGGTGGAAGGGGGGGGCTAATGGAGCTTAGCCCCACAAGTGCGGGGCAGTGGAAGGGCCACAAGGCAGCCTGGCTGCGGGCTCCTGGTGGCTGCAGCAGGGGTGGGGAGGAGAGCAGGCATAGCAATGAGAGAGGGAGTGGGGATGGGGGCTAGGAGAGGAGCAGGCACTACACAGCCAGCGGGGTCGGGGACTGAGGATCCTGCTACACGTAGAAGGGGCAGGGGCAGGAGAGGAAGGGATACATAGTGTAAGCACCCATGCTTGGGGCTGTTTTGCACCCCACTCTGCCCTTCCGTCTGCCCCAGCACAGGAGGTGTCTCCACTGCTAAAACTCCTGCTGCCATGGGTGAAGCACCACCTTATGTGCTGCCCACACCTCCCAGGAGCATGGCTGTTCTCTTGCCCCTGTACAGCAGCCATTCCTGGAGTGGAGCCATGCAGGCAGTGTCTGCTGTGCCTCCTTCCCTCCCAAGGAGGGTAGTTGAAGGGTGAGGTAGTTGTTGCACATGAAGGCAAAGGGGTGGGGGAGAAACAGGACAAGTTTGGTGGCTCATACAGGGAGTGAACCTATGACCTTGGCATTATTAGCACCACACTACAACCAGCAGAGCTAACTGGCTACCTGCCAAACTCCACTGAGTTGAGCACTTGTTGAGATGCACATGGCACCTGCTCCAGGTCCAGCAGCCTGGACCCACTGCCAGTACAAATGTGGGCAGAGCAAGCAGCCTGCTTGGCCACGGGGCAGCCCTGCATGTGGGGCTGGGGCTAGATGTATGGAGCTGGGCGGGTGGGAGGGAGGATTTGGTTGCTGCCTTGGCTTCACCCAACTCCTGCCAGTGGGACACGGGGGAAGCGGAGGAGCCAGGTCTGCAGTGCTGCTGGCACCAGCATCAGGGTGTGCGGGCTGACTTCCGATCTCGTCTGGGTTGTCATGTGTGAGCTGGGGGCGAGCCGGGGCCTGTCTCTTGTGTGTACACAGGCTGTGGCCGGTAGCCCGGGTACACGGGGTTGGAGAAAACCGCGGTGCGGTATGGCACGCTCTAGCTAGAATCAGTCACGGAGGTGTAATGGTTGATTGAAAAGATTATTTACTTACACCCAAGGTGGTCGCGGTGTAGGCTGGTCAGCTTTCCAGGCTCAGCTCCACTTGAGTTCTCGGTGGAGGACTCTAATAAACTTGGTTCCTTGACCCCGGAGTGATTCAGGCTCCGCGGGGTTCAAGAATTCGTTCCCACGGAGGAGCTGTATCTCCGTGAGTGTTACTCGGTTCCCAGGTCCCCCGGAGCTGTTAAACTCCGTGGGCTCGACAATTGGGCCCTTAGGATAGGGATACGTCTGGGCTGCGATCGGCGACGGGGAGAGGCTAGAGGTTAGTTGCCTCGGAGTCGTTA